CTTCTTTTTCACTGAGTTTTGGAAGATTGTATTTTTCTAGAAATGTGTCCATTTCCCCTAGGCTCTCAAATTTCTTGGCATACAGTTCTTCATAGTAATTTCTTACAATCTCTTCTATGTCTGTGGTATCAGTTGTAATCTCTCCTTTTTCATTTCTGATTGTGTTTATTTGTGTCCTCTCTCTTCTTTTCTTGATGAGCCTACTTAAATGCTTGTCTATTTTGTTTATCTTCACAAAGAACCAACTCCTGGATTCATTGATCCTTAAAATTGTGCTTTTAGTTTCTATGTCATTTAATTCTGCTCTAATCTTGGTTATTTCCTTCCTTCTGCTTGCTCTGGGCTGTCTTTGTTGTTGTTCCTCTAGTTCTTGCAGGCATAGGGTTAGGTTGTTTGTTTGAAATGTTTCTGTTTTCTTTAGGTAGGCCTGTATTGCTATAAACTTCCCTCTCAGGACTGCCTTCGCTGTGTCCCATAAATTTTGGGTTGTTGTGAGATCATTTTCATTTGTTTCCAGAAATGTTTTGATTTCTTCCCTAATTTCATTCTTGACCCATTCGTTGTTTAATAGCATACCATTCAGTCTCCATGTTTTTGGGTGCTTTGGGCTTTTTTCTTTGGGGTCGGTTTCTAATTTCAGTCCCTTGTGGTCAGAGAAGATGCTTGGTATGATTTCAATTTTCTTGAATTTTTTGAGGCTCGTTTTGTGTCCTATCATGTGGTCTGTCTTTGAAAATGTTCCATGTGCATTTGAAAAGAATGTGTATTTAGCTTCTTTGGGATGAAGGGCTCTGTATATATCAGTTAAGTCCATTTCATCTAGGGTGTTGTTTAATGCCACAATATCTTTGTTGATAATTTGTTTGGAAGATCTGTCCATTTTTGATAGTGAGGTGTTCAAATCCCCTACTATAATTGTGTTGCTGTCAATATCTTTCTTGAAGTCCTCTAAGATTTTCTTGATATATTTGGGTGCCCCTATGTTTGGTGCATATATGTTTACAATGTTAATGTCTTCTTGGTGGATTCTTCCCTTGAGTATAATGAAGTGACCTTCTGGGTCTCTCTTTATAGCCTTTTTTTTTGAAGTCTATTTTGTCTGATATGAGAATTGCTACCCCAGCTTTTTTTTCTTCTTGCCCATTTGCTTGGAAAACTTGTTTCCAGCCTTTCACTTTTAGTCTGTGATGGTCTTTTGTCCTGAGGTGAGTCTCTTGTAGGCAGCATATGTGTGGGTCATGCTTTCTCATCCATTGAGCTATTCTGTGTCTTTTGATTGGAGAATTTAATCCATTTACGTTTAAGGTTATTATTGATAGGTACTTACTCATTGCCATTTTTTGTACCTGTGTTCTTCTCTGTCTCCCTCTTATCCTTCCTTCCCTTAAAGCAGTCCTTTTAGTATTTCTTGTAGAGCTGGTTTGGTGGAGGCATATTCTTTTAGACTTCTTTTGTCTTGGAAGCTCTTTATTTGGCCATCTATCTTGATTGAGAGCCTTGCTGGGTAAAGTAGCCTTGGTTGTAGGCCTCTGTTTCTCATTACTTGGAATATTTCTTGCCATTCTCTTCTTGCTTGAAGTGTTTCCATTGAGAAGTCAGTAGCTAACCTTATTGGGGGTCCCTTGTATGTTATTTCTTTTTTCTCCCTTGCTGCCTTTAAGATTCTCTCTTTGTCTTGGAATTTTGCCATTTTGATGATGATGTGTCTTGAAGTGGGCCTCCTTGGGTTCCTCTTGGTTGGGACTCTTTGTGATTCCTGGATTTGTGAGACTTTTTCTCTTATCATATTAGGAAAATTTTCTCTCATTACTGGTTCAAATACGTTTTCTATCCCTTGTTGTTCTTCTTCTCCTTCTGTTATTCCTATTATTCAGATATTATTACGTTTCATATTGTCTTGCATTTCTCTTAATCCCTCTTCATTCTTTCTGAGCCTCTTTTCATTTTCTTGCTCTTTCTGTGAGATGCTTTCTACCTTGTCCTCCAACTCACTAATCCTATCCTCCGCTTCATCTATCCTACTTTGGAAACTTTCTACTGTGTACTTCAATTCGGAAATTGTATTCTTCATTTCCTCTTGTCTCTTGCTGATAGTTTCCATTTCCTTTTTGATGTTGCTGTAGTTTGCAGAGAGATCATTATAGTTCCCCTGTAGTTTCTGGTAGTTCACTGTGAGCTCTTTGAACTTCATAATAACCAGTGCTTTGAATTCACTGTCTGATAGTTGATCAGCGTCTATTTCATCTAACATTCTTTCTGAAGTTTCTGCTTTTTCTTTCATTTGGGGATTGTTTCTTTGTCTTCCCATTGTTTGAGACTCTTCTTGTTAGTCTCTGCTTCCAAAATTGATCTGTTCTGAAACACTGGTTTTATGGTGTAAACTTGTGTGGTATGATCCTTGTGAAGTTCAGTGGTGCAGACTCCTTGAAGTTTCTTGATGTTCTTCGTCTCCACCTACACTCACGCTGGTCCTCACACTGGTCCCTGCGTTGGTCGCCTACCACTGCTGAATGTCCCGGCTCTAGTAGGCACCTCCTCAAGCACCCAGGCCCGTTACTATGGCAGTGGCACAGAGGCTGGGAATGTCCCGGCTCCCGTATCTGGCTCTCTCTGCCGCCCAGGGCCGTCACAGGGGCTTGGAGTGTCCCGGTTTCCGTACCTGACTCCCCGGCATCTAGTCCTGTCTCTATGGCAGTGGCACAAAGGCTTAGAAAGTCCCAACTCCCATACCTGACTCCCCGGGGTCCAGTCCCGTCGCTATAGCAGCGGCACAGGATCTGAGAACTTGCCGGCTCCCGTAGCTGGCTCCTCTGCTGTGTCACAGGGGTCTGGAGACTGGGCTGATGTGCACATACTCCCTCCAAGTTGGTGTGTTGTCCATATGATGATGGCTCCTGGCTTCTGGGTCCCTGTTCGTGAGTGCTCGCTGATGCGGACACCAGCCCTCAGTGTCCACGTCATTATGGATGAAATGAGACATTCACACTGACTACCGAGTCCAGTGGAGGAAAAGGGACAGTATGGCTTTTCTCTCAAGGGAAGCAAAAGCCGCTAGGCTTCTTGATTTCCTGTTTCAACCAGCTTTCCTAACACTCTGTACTAGAAGCAGTTTGGGACATTATGAAGTAAATATTGCAGATTGTAGGTTCAAGTACTTTAATCAGTTGTCTCATTAATGCATTTACCTAGCAAACATAAATATATGTACTACCTAATATTTGCCTGAGTCTGTATGTGAAGCTCTGTGGTCACTGAGATGAATGAAACTTAGTCCCTGCCCTCATTCTCTCAAGGAGTGATGCTACCAGCTGCCTCAGGACCTTTGCACAAGATGTTCTTGCTGCTCAGACCTTCAAATCTTGGCCAAATGACAGTCATCTCTTAAATCACACCTCCCTCCTCTCCACTATACCATTTATCTCAGTTTTAGTACCCTTTACCTTTCCTTTATAGAGCAGTTAGTTTAGTTTGCAATTATATTATTTTGTGATTTGATTTAGTATTTGTCCCCTAAAACCTAAGCTTCCTGAGGCAGGGATTTTTCCCCCTACACAATTGTTTTTTCAGCACTGTAGGAAAGTGGTAAGTTTGTACTAGGTGCACAAAAAAATTTTTGTTGAATGAGTGCATGCCTGAGAACATTGTTATTGCCCTATATAAAGGGCTCCTGAGTAGGCAGCGCTGCAAAAAGTCCTTGAGCTAGAAAAGGTATAGCTGTGGAAGGGAGGGCTTTTGAGACTAAGGGAAAGCAGACCTGAAAGTCCAAGGTCCCAAACGAACAGCTGTGGCTTTTCTGGGAAAAAGATATCCAGGATCTCTGTGTCTTCCAATTGGGGAGTGTTGGGATACAAGTAGCAGAAGCAGTAGAATAGGTAACTACCTCAATATTTTTGAAGGAGAGGAAAGAGTGGTATTTTGGGGAGAACTGAGAAAGGGAACTTTTTCTTCTGGTTTTATATTATTTTTAAATGTGCACTGAGGACTATAGACACTGAGGAATTATGTAGGGGTGAGACTCTATGAAGGAGCACTTTCAGTGAAGGAGATCATATTTATTCTACAAATGATAGAGTACCAAATCCTTTCAATTTTAGTGCTTAATGGGATTTCTCATGAATCAGAGGACATTCATATGTATGGAATGCGGTCATATCTGAGCATATTTTTCACATGGGCTCAGATTTGCAGTGACTTATTCCAAGCCTTGTAATGAGTAATGTCAGCATCAGGGCTTGAACCCATGTCTTTTTGAATGCCAGTATATCTTGAGCTGTCTGCAGGGACATAACTCCTCTAGGTTGTATGGCCTGAAATTCTTGCCTGTAGTTTCTATAGATGCTGCTTGCTATTCCAGAACATCCGTTACCCTCCTCCTACCCTTTCTCCCACCCCTGCCACCCACAGCAGTAAATGAAAAGTTGCTTTTGATCTTGGTGATAAGACTGTTACATTTTGCAAAGAGGATAGGAATTAAGGATACTCAGAGGAACTTGTGGTAAAAATATAATGCCTTAAGGGAACATTTTAATGGTATGAATTGACAGTTTCTTTCTTGCTGGCTCACATCCACTTGGCGCTGGTATGTTCACTCTTGTGCTGCTGTTTTTGAATAGTATGCACACTTAGTACTCTTTTGAAACATAATTGATGTACCATCTTGGGAAGTGAGTGTATTTAGCTGCTTCAGGGAATATTGTGTGCTGGACTCAGCACAGAATCCAACGGAAAGCCACTGTCCCAGGGAGCACTGTAATCACATTTATGGATAGGTACTTTGTGTTTAGTTGAGTTTTTTGCTCAACAACAATAAAAAGGATATATTTGTGGTGGCATTAGGGATTCAGAGCAATTAAGTGCCATGTTTCCTTGTTTTAGGTATTCTCATATCCCACTTTCCTGTTCTTCCCACCTTCCCTTTTAGTAACTCCAATTAGCCTGTATTTTGCTTGAGTCCTTAGATACCTGTATAAACACCAGTTCTCTTTCCTTCTTTTCTACAGAAAGATGTAGCACTTAAGCCTCAGGAACGTGTGGAGAAACGCCAGACCCCTCTGACAAAGAAGAAACGGGAAGCACTTACCAACGGCTTGTCCTTTCATTCCAAGAAGAGCCGGCTTAGCCACCCACATCACTACAGCTCAGATCGAGAAAATGACCGCAATCTCTGCCAGCACCTTGGGAAGAGAAAGAAAATGCCAAAGGGACTCAGACAGGTATGGACGCTTTGTTCTTTTCATGGCTGAACACCGCTCACCCCAGGCCTTGGGTACCAGTTCCTTTGTGGTTCTTCCTAGTGGTTGGAGAAGATGTCCTTGTGGGATGCTGAAAAGCTTCCCTGCAGAGCTTTATGGTTGGTTTTAAAAGAATATACCAAACCAAGCTCTGTGTTTTGTATTACGATTGGAAACTTCATTGTGGTACCTTTTTAGTCAGATGTGCTCTGTGTGATAATGCTGCTGTTATTGCTGTTGGCATGTAGGGCAGACTGACTGAAGACTTGATGGTAATCAGGGTAGAGTGGCTGGTAGGGTGTAAAGATCCTTATAATTAGGACAAACAGAACAGGCAGATTTGAGCATATAACATCGTGTATCTAAAGGTTCTGAGTTGCTAAAATTGGTTATCTACATGCAAGCAGTGTGTTGCAGAGGTTTAGATCTTCATGGGAAGCTTAGATACTGTGGCATGTGGGAGAACAGTGGCAAAGAAATGAATTTGCCTTTCGGTTCCGTAGTTGCTGTCTGTAGCCCATGATTGAAGACTATCTTTCTGATCTTTTGACTGTATGAAAGTCTGGTAGTAGGGCTTACTGATCTGTTAATAATTAGGTTTCAATGGTCCACAAGAAAATAAAGCTCTTGGCATTTGGAGAGCCTTTCTGCCGGTGGATGTCCCCACATGAGATAGATTAATAATGACAAATGAAGCTGCTTATCGCAGTTTTTCTGCACAAATGCAGAGTCTTCAGTGCCTGCTTAGTTACCAGTGTCCTGGGTGTGTTTGTTTTTGGTGGGACCTCTGGATGGGGATTACTGTCACTTAAATGAAAAAGAAGAAGGGAGTGTATTTCATAGAACAAGTGCTCTAATTAAAAGCTGAATAGGTCATTTATAGTTTGCACATGTTTCTCTGCAAAGGGAGAATATCTAGGATTATATAAAACAGTGGTTCCAAAACCTCACAGGTCATTATAATCATATCATAAGCCTTGTTAAATAAAAATGCATAGCCCCTCACCAAGACCTAGTGGATTAGAATGTACTGGATGAGGTGCAGGTATTTGTAGTCTTTTTAGAAAGTTCCTATTTGATAATGGTCAGGCCATTTTGGAAATAATTCTTGTAAAGCATCAAGAGTATATTTTTGGTGATGATTTTTAGTTCAAAGATTGGATGGACCAAAAGCTTCAGTAAGATCTACTGGACATTTTGGGATCAGAGTTTGACCTGATGGGTAATAAAGGGTATACTCCTGAGAAGACATCTAGAGAGACGGATTTCAGCATCATCTCAGAAGGATTTCAGGGAAGTATCCCCAGATGTGGCACACAGGGCAGTTTTTCCTAAAGATACATGTGTTCTTAACTGAAGTGCTAAATTGCAATTATAGTAATAGTTACATTTATCTAATGCTTGCCATATTAATAGTCATTCAGTGAGAGAAATTGTGTATTGTAATCTGCATTTCTCACAAGAATCATAGCTGGTAGGTAATATGATTGCTTTACAGATAGGGACACTGAAGCTCAAAGAAATAAAGTGACTTGTCTATGGCCACTTAGTAGTAAGGGACAGAGCCAAGGTTGAAACTCATCTTCCTTTGGCTTGCTCATTAGCTCTGTATGTCCTGCCTTTCTTGACAGACAATAGGATTGAACATGAAGAGAAAGAGAATTCCATGTCATGGGATGTAGGGGATCTGTGTATTTCTAGAAACTACAACACTTGATTAGTTTGGTCAGAGCTGTGATATTGGTCATAAAATGGCCTATGAAGGCATGGGAAGAAACTGGTTTAAATACCAAGTTCAGAGAGCAGGGAAAGCTGGAAAGTTTGAAAACAAGCACATTTGGATGAAGGTTTATACTTTTATTAATTTATTTTTGGATAGAGAGTGGAAAAGGGGAAGAAAAGCTAAGTCCCATACACAACAGTGTTCCTGTGGTATTTGTGACTCCCAACTCCTGCCTCTCTGTGTGAGACATGTGAGGAAACTCATTATTTCCCAGTGGAGAGAGATGGCAGTGTAACTACCACCTCTTCCCTGGGCTCTCCCTCCCAACAGGCAAGCCAAAGCTTCTTACCCTTTCAGGCAAGAAACCAATTTAATTCTGAACCTACACTCAGCTGTGGTTCCTCAACCTTGACATTCTTATTCCCAGACCCTGACTTTTCTATTCTCTGTCCTCAAAATTCTTCTTTTTAGTTTGCCCTCTGGTAAAAGACTTTATGATCATAAAAGAAGGTAGGATTCTATGTCTCAAATTTGAGAGGCTTTTGGTCCTAATGATCAGCCTTCTGGTACTAGTGGTATTTGAAATCAAACCTATTCTTGTTTGAGGTAAAATATTTGAAAAGCAATTATATTGAATTGTATTTTGGACTATGTAAGGGCTTTTAAAAACAAGTGGTGTTTTCTTATCTTCAGTGTTCATGCCAAAATATACTAACCAAATCGTGTTGTTTTTCTAATAGGAAGAAAAGCAGAAGTTGATAATTGAGATAAAGCTATAATACTTTTCATTTGTAATATTCCTAGAATTATATGTGTTTCTATTAAACCACGAATGAATCACAGTCTTTTGCAGACCATCTATAAAATGGAGAGGTTTTCTTGGGCCCCTTCCTCTATGTTCCATGGTTCTTTAAAATTGTGAGTAACATGGATACACACACACACACACACACACACACTGCTGTTGAGATCTGAAAAGGAAGGCCATGCTAGGTCTGAGGGTAATTTAGTATTGCAGTCTGATTGGTTCTGTGCAGACATTTAAAGGAGAGGAGTGAGATGTGTTTCTGGTGGGAGAGAGAGGCATGACTGGTTGTGTGTCACCCCAGACAAGTGCCATCTGCTTTGTGATCATTGGTAGAAGGTGACACATGAGTGTTGAATGGCCACAGTTTATGTTCAAAAACTTGTGCTGAGGATATTTGCACTTGTTTTTCTATCGTGATAGAGGCCCACATACATCACCATTACTTTTTTCCCTGCTTTCGTCTCTTATCTGATAAAGTTACTGAATCTGACCATCTTAGTTGGGAGGAGACCTTGAGATGAGAGTGGACCTTGAGGACAATTTCTAAATTAATGGATTGTTCTTTAGTGCTTCTTATTGAGGGAATTATAATCACAAGAACTATAGATGAAAGAGGGCAATAGGAACTGAGAATTCAGTCTTTATTTTTGACTTGGTACAAGTGGATTATGTTTGCATTATATTAGGAAATAGTACTTCCTGAGCAGGCAACTTAATGCACAGCTTTCCTGTAATTATTGGGAGATGTTACTCCTTAGTGGAGAGGAAATAATAGGATTTTTTTTCTGAGAAGCCATTGAAGGCAACTAATCTTTTTACTGTGAGAGTGCAATTAAATAGTTTTATAAGAGAGATGTGTAGTTCTAAAACCAAACCGCCTTTTTCTTCTCTGGCCTAATTAGGAAACCTCAGTTCTCCTGATGTTTTTCCATATTATTAAATGTATGTTTTTACCAGCACTTAATGGAAATTATTTGTTGGATTGTATTTTTTAATTGTATTTTTGAGTTCACCTACATACTGACTTAGAAGATGCTGAGCTGGCAACTGTCTTATAAAACGGTTGCGCGTTTTACATGGCAAATTGGGACACTCCTTAATTTCCAAAGGGATTTAAAAAGATAAAGAAAGGAACAAGTTAATTGTTACACGAAAGAGTACATGTCTTTCTGACCCCCTGAGGCCTGTATTTGTCCTACAGAGAACTATTTACTCATTATGTGGAGGCTCAGCCATTATGTAGAAAAGTTTTTACTAATAAGAATATGGCAGTTTTTTTTTCCTACTTAGACTTAGAATTGGAAAAATCAAAACAAGTTGTACAAGTCCTCTCTGTAAGGAGCTTTATTTTCCAATTTGGAGACTTAAGTCACAATGTAATGACTGAGAACACAACGAAGTGATGTGTTGCCAAAACTTTTAGCCAAATTATGACTTTGTCAGAAGCATTTTGAGCAAACTTAATTCTTCCTAGCATCTTGAGTTTTTTCTTTCCTTATGTCTAATTCTAGACCGTAATGGATGCTTAAAAATTTAGTACTTCATAATTTAAAACACTGAGTGAACAAAGCAGTTTAAAAATATAGAGACAATGAAGAAAAGTTGATAAGAGTTCAGAAAATTCTCAGTTTGGTTCTGAATGGAGATTTCTAAATCTCCATTTAGTTCATTTGTCTGTCATTTCTGACTCTAGTATGAATTGAACCAGAGGAAATAGGCTTAAGTGAACTAGGAGGAATTTTGAGATTATATGAACTCTTCAACACACAACAGAATGGATCATCAAAATAAATCCTAGAGTCTCCTTTCTAACTGAATCTTAGGTGACAAAAATATATTTATTTAAGGGCAGAATTTCACAGAGAAAGAGGCCTCCTATTGAAATTGCTTGTAGGCGTTGCAGAATACCATTTGAGGGGAAAATAAAGGAATTTGGGATTATTTCAGGTAGACTCTAATCTTGCTGGTGAGAATGGTTTATGTGGTTTAAAAATCTTTACACAAATTGAGCAGGGTAGGTATTGCTTATGGAATGAAAATTTATTTTTCTCTCTGAAGGGTGTAGTGCAGTGGACTCAAACTTGGTGGAGCATTTGGAGCTGACAATGAAGATAACAAAATTGTATACAAAATTACAAATCATAGATACCAAAAATGTATACTGATTTCTATGAAAAAAAAAAAAAAAAGGAATTGATCCCACTGTCTTTTGTTAGAGCTTTTTGAGCTTTTGTTAGAGCTATGCCTGGTGGTTGCATCTGTTTTCATGACCTTATTTGAAGTAGGTTGTGTTGTTTCAAAGGGTCCGGGTGCGTAGTCGCCATCTGTGCTTCCAGTTGTCCTGATGGGGCAGCACATCTCACACGTGCTCTTCTCCTTTGAAAACATTTACCACCAGCGGCTGATCCTTTATTTCAGTTGGACTGACTCCGATTGTCTGAAGACTTCTCT